ATAGTCGTCTCTTATGCTGTCTAAAGAAGGTATTTGAAATGAACAAATCATTGGTTTTGCAGAATTCTATCATGCATTCTCCAGCATCATTTCTATTACCGAGGTCATTATGTTCCAACTACTGATCCTTTCTCTTTGCTCCCAACCTTTACATTCCAATCACCAATAATGATCAACATATCTTGATTGCATGTTTGATCAATTTCAGATAGAAATTGGTAGAATTCTTCTATTTCATCCTCACTGGCTTTAGTGGTTGGTGCATAAATAGTAGTTGTATTAACTGACCTTTTCTGTAGGTGCATGGATATTATCCTATCACAGACAGCGTTGTACCTCATGACTGACCTGGATATGTTCTTTTTGACAGTGAATGCAACACCATTCCTCTTCAATATGTCATTCCCGGCATAGTAAACCATGTGGTTGTCAGATTCAAAATAGCCAATACCAGTCCATTTCATCTCACTAATACCTAAGATATCGATGTTTATGTGTTCTATTTCATTTTTGGACAATTTCTCATTTTCCTAGACTCATACTTCGTACATTCCAAGTTTGGATTATTAATGGATGTTTGCAGCTGTTTCTCTTCATTTTGAGTTGTGCCCAATCAGCAAATGAAGGTCCCGCAGGCTTTACTCCATTTGCGTCATCACTGTCAACTATATTTTGAGGAGGCAGCTCTTCCCCAGTAGCATTTTGAGTGCCTTCCAACCTAAGGGGTTCATTTTCTGGCACTACATCTGAGTGTTTCTCTGCTATTCATAAAGTTTTCAGTGACTAAATATTTGGAAGTAGTTCATCACACCTTCTTCCTAGTCTGTCTTTGTTTGGAATCTCATCTGAAACCTGTCCACCATGGGAGACACTGCTGTTATTTAAAATACTGGTGGCATAGCTTCCAGAATCACAGCGACTCACAAGCCATCACAGTATGACAAATTGACAGATGAGTGGTGGAAATTAAACTTAGGTGAATTTTTTTTTTTTTAAATCACGTAAGGTTTTTAGCACGAGAATATAAAGCCAATTTTAATTAAAAAATGTGCAAAGATCTGGAATCAGAAAACCAAAAAGGAAGAACACACTCAGCATTTCTCAAACTGGGGGAACTGAAGAAAAAACTCAAGCCTTGACTTTCATTATTGAAGGATTCTTTGGGCAAAGCAGCAGTCAAGAAATCAGATGACGTATTGCATTAGGCAAATCTGCTGCACAAGACTTTTTTAAAGTGTTGAAGAGCAAAGATGTCAGCTTGTGGACTAAGGTGTGCCTGACCCAAGCCATGGTATTTTCAATAACCTCATATGCATGCAAAAGCTGGACAGTGAATAAGGAAGACCATAGAATTGATGCTTTTGAGTTATGGTGTTGGAAGAGAATATTGAAAGTGCCATGGGCTGCCAAAAGAACCAATAGATCCATTTTTGAAGAAGTGTAGCCAGAGTGCTCCTTGGAGGCCAAGATGGCCAAACTTTGTCTCTCATACTTTGGACATATTGACAGGAGGGACCAGTCGCTGGAGAAGGATAGCATGTTTGGTAAGGTGGAGGGTCAGAGAAAAAGAGGAAGACCCCCAATGAGATGGATTAGCCAAGTGGCAGCATCAATGGACTGAAGCGTGACAACAGTAGTGGTTCTGCTGTGCATAAGGTCGCTATGAGTCAGTACTGATTCTATGGCACCTAAAAACAACAACAAGGTTTTTAAAAAATTAACCTTGTTTTTGTTATATGCTATGGAGTTGGTTCTAAATTGTAGCGACCCTGTACAGGGTTTCTGAGGCTGTCAATCTTTACGGGAGCAGAAAGCCTCATCTTTCTCCCATGGAGCAGCTGGTAGTTTCAAGCTGCTGACCCTGAGGTTAGGAGCCTGAGTCATAACCACTATGTTACCAGAGCTCCATAGGTGATTAAAACAAAACAAAAAAAACTATCTTAGAAAATGACAATTCATGGAGTAAAGTTGGAAGCAAGAAGGAATGGAGCTGAGGAGTATTGTTAATTATTCAGGTTGGAGTCTTAAGTGATTGGATATTTTTATTTTTTAATAGAGAGAAATAAATTAATAAATTGGAATGGATTTATTTCTTAATTAAAGGAGAGAAACAGGAAGAAGGAGGGGAGAGTTTTTTTTTTTTTTCTTTTAAAGGGTACACAAAGAACTTTTAACTGGTTTAAGTCTTGGCTTTTGGACTTCTACTTTCCAATGCACGTCCTCTGCCACAACACACTTGTGCCAGATTCCACATACAGACCATGATTTGTATAGCTCTCCTTTACATCAAAAAAGAAATCAGGGGTAAGCCTTGTGGGGGTGGAGGCGCAGAAAGACAAATATTCTAGCTTTAAATACCCGTTTCCAAATTCTGAAGACTGCTCTTTGCTCTTCTAAAAGCACTCTCTAATGTTCTTATCTTAATATATTCTTTTTCAGTGTATCAAGTACTTTTGAAACTTAATTCAAATGGCATAGGAAGTGAATTTAGTGCTTACCCCTAGTTTGAAAACGAGAAACCCAAACAGTGTATTTATTATTCTTATTTTTTAATAGGGAGCAAAATCAGGAGTGCACAGACATGCAGCAGAGTCAGCACGAGAATATGGGTGATAATATGTCTAATAAGACAGCAAATTAGAGGTTTCAGAAAACAGGTTTTTATATTAAGGAAAAACTGGGCAGAGAGAATGAAACAGGCAAATTAAGAGACGGGCAAAAAAAAAAAGTAACAATGAACAGTTATACATATACACACACCACCTCCAAAACTCAACCTCCTGAATCAAAACCCACCCCAAACATATAAACAAACCAGTGTGTAATATTAAATAAATTACTAGAGGGATGACAAAATTGGAGATTATAAATCTATAATTCATAGAAATGTGTTGCTATGGAACTTATTTTTACTTCTCTCCATGACTACATTGTTGACAAAGAATAATATTCTTAGGTTACTGTTCCAGGATTTCATTTTTCCTTCAGAAAAATAAAAAGGAAAAAGCTGCAAATCTCTGATTGCCCTTGAACAAGTCTTAAGACTTAAAAAACAGAAAACAGTAAAGTGAATGCAGTGCAGACAACTGTATCCTAGAATGAAGGACTTAGGGAGCTGTCAATTTTTCACAGGCTCTTCTTCTTGTCTGGTACTGCTGTTCTCTATGTATTATTCATCTGTATATATATTTAACTCCAGCTATTAGTCCGCCTCTTCCAGCCACGGAGCCATTTGCAAAGGAGAGGAGAGGCAGACCAGGCTTGCTATTATTAGGCATCCCTGTGCGTGATGAGGGTGGAGACAATTAAATAACACCATTTTGCTTCTTTAAGAATTGCAAAGAGACTCTTTGGGGTGGACAACTCAAGACTGGTTAACATAACCTTTCCCCTCAAGAAGGTAAAACAAAAGAGATACATTTCTGAAGTACTTAATTAAGCTTTCAGCAATGAGTGTGGGAAAATTACAGACCCATAAAAATTCTCCAGTTCCCAGCAAGAGTAAATTTTCTCTGCAGCACTCTGTCATTGCTCATTTACTGCACCATTTTGACAACATCTCATATTTCCACAGGCTTTTACATAATCCACTGGCAGGGACTGAAGGGCGAGGAACAGAGAGAATGGGGACAAATTTTGGACCTCCCCCATGGTCACTTCCTTTCATTTTTTCCATTACAGCATGAGGTTGAAGGGTAGCATTTTAAGAAGATTTCGTTGGAAGACTGAGATGTTAATAATTGACACAGCAAGAGAAAAGCTGTGAAAATTCACCACTGCTTGCTCACTCTTCCAAAGGATGAGTATAATTCAGTCGTAATGAAGACTCTTAAATGTTCCTCCCCAAAACCTTTTTCGATCAGGAAAGCCTGGAATCTGTAGGCAAGAAGGACAATCACAGTTAAGTCTCAAGGAGGAAGACTTCAAATACCAAGAGCCTTTTAAATCTTTTTTCTCATTTTCTGTTTGTCTCTTAAAAGTACCAGGCTCTCTGAGGTTTTACTCTGAAAACCACTGACACTTGAGTAATGAAAATAAATTTTACTCGAATGGAAAAGATGTGCTAACTACTTGGCAATAGTGTCATCTCAGTCAGAGTAATACTCACCTAGTGGAGCTTTGTATGAATTATTCGTACTGGGGTAGCCTCCTGAAGTCGTAAGCAAATGACTTTCTTCTATTATTGCATAATGTAACCTATCCCTGACTACTTCTTATTTCTTAGATGCTTATTTTCCCCCTTTCTTCCTTTTATATTTAAAAGAATATAAGAAAATCAGTTGCTGATGCTAACAGAATAAGGAGCCAAGGTGTGCAACAATTAAAGGGTCTTGGCTGCTAATGGAAGGTTTGAATTCACCCATAGGAATCCTGGTGTGTAGGATAAGCACCAGACTGCAGCCATTCCTTGGAAGTCCTATATAGGATAAATAGAACCTATCTGACAGCACTTAACAACAACAACAACACTGGCTCCTCAGGAGAAAGATCTAATGATCTGTAAAGACTAGCCTGTTGCCATTGTTAGGAGCTGTTGAGTCAATTCTGACTCATAATAACCCTTTGCTATTGTTGTTGAGTGCCACAGTAACCCTGTATAGGGTTTCCTACATGCAGCTGGTGAGCTTGAACCGCCGACCTTGCAGTTCAAATGGACTTTGCTGTCTAGTGCATTAACCCACAGTGCCACACCAGGATTCCATAGTGACCCTTATTATAACTGTCCCATTGGGTTTCCTAGGATGTAAATCTTTGTGGAAATAAGACATCTTTCTCCCTCAGAGATGGGTTCAAACCGCCAACTTTTTGGTTAGCAGTTGAGTGCTTAACCATTGCCTCACCAAAACCTGATGGGGCAGTTCTACTGTCACACAGGATCTATGAGTCAGAATCAATTCGACAGAACCTAACAACATACATACATACATACAAATACACAAAGGGCTTCCTTGTACTTTTTAAACAACCTTTATAAATTTGGAAATCATCTATTTTACCTAGATATGATAGATACCAACCTGATTGCCTTCTTTTAAAAAGTATCTCTTCTCTATGACCTGTGAGGAACAGAGGGAGACTTAAGGCTCAGTAGTCATACCTGGAAAAAGTGGTAACAGTAATGGCCACTAACGGAGCTAACAGGTTTATATTAAAATGAATAGTGTTTTTAATAGTTCTAGATATTCACATATACATCAAATAAATGAGATTAGGATTATGGGAGTGTTCCTATAAAGACATGCCTCATTCCTAAAAACTCTAATGGTAGATCAAAAATACATGAATCCAAAAAAAAGAGCCAAGTAATTAAAGAATGAAAGGCAGAAATCAATGACTAAGATCCCATGTAGTTCCTGGTGTATGGCAGCACGTTTGGCTCTATGCTTAACAGCAGTCACCACCAAAAGGAATTGCAAAAGCAAAGATGTAAAAAAGATATAAAATCAAAGAACTTCCCTACAACAAAGTAGCTATTCTTTAAAAAGGAGACTAGGTAATGTAGTAAAATGACACATTCCTACAGTAAACCCAGTGGTAAATGCTGTTACGGACTCAATGTACACAGATGGTACAAAAGCAGAAGTACTCAATTAGCTTTGTCTTTTGTTTTTTTAAATGGACTTAATTTGCTGAAAGTGAAGAGGACTTGAAACATTTACTGATGAAGATCAAAGAGCACAGCCTTCGGTATGGGTTGCATCTCAATGTCAGAAAAACAAAAATCCTCACCACTGGACCAATAAACAATATTCTTATCAACGGAGAAAAGATTGAAGTTGTCAAGGACTTCATTCTTCTTGGATCAACTATCAACACTCATGGAAGCAGAAGTCAAAAGATCAGATGACGTATTGCATTGGGCAAATCTGCTGCACAGTAACTTTTTAAAATGTTGAAGAGCAGAGATGTCAGCTTGAGAACTTAAGGTGCGCCTGACCCAAGCCATGGTATTTTCAATAACCTCACATGCATGCAAAAGCTGGACAGTGAATAAGGAAGATCGTAGAAGAATAGATGCCTTTGAGTTGTGGTGTTGGAGGAGAATACTGAAAGTGCCATGGACTGCCAAAAGAACTAATAGATCTATTTTGGAAGAAGTGCAGCCAGAGAGTGCTCCTTGGAGGCCAGGATGGCTAAGCTTCGTCTCTCATACTTTGGACATATTGTCAGGAGAGAACAGTTGCTGGAGAAGGATGTCATGCTGGGTAAGATGGAGGGTCAGAGAAAAAGAGGAAGACCCCCAACGAGGTGGATCAGCCAGGTGGCATCATTGATGGTGTCAAGTGTGGCAGCAGTGGTGGGGTTGGCCCAGGATTGGACATTGTTTCGTTCTGCTGTGCATGGGGTCGCTATGAGTCGGTTCTGACTCGATCATACCTGACAACAACAATTTGCATCCTAAGTTCAGTAGTTTCAGAACTGTCTGTATTTGGTCAGTAGTAGAAATGAACTAAAGCAGTAGATATATCTGTACAAATCCATTTACTATCGAGGGAAAAAAAACCCTCAAATATGAACATAGGCATGCACTAATATAATGAGTTTGAGAGCATTATCTTTTCAGATGATGAGAGGCATTTGAAAAAATCATTATACCTACTTATCATTTGGAGTCCTACTGTGGCGCTGTGGGTTCATGCACTAGACTGCAAAGCCAATCTGGCTTTGAGCTGCAAGGTTGGTGGTTCAAGTTTACCAGCTGCTCCTCAGAAACCCTATACAGGGTTGCTATGGGTTGGAACTGACTCGACAGCACTTAACAACAACAACTCATTTATCAACTATCTTGTTATCTGACATTTCACATTTATAACAATAATAAAAAATCTGCTATCTTGCCCATTAATGACATAAGTTTGGCAGTAATAAATGCTGACATATGAGGTGAGAATAAAGTTGGCTGTGATAGTTAAGGTTATGAATCAACTTGGCTGGGCCAGGATTCTCAGTGGATTGGCAGTTATGTAACAATGAAAGTTTGCAACCATATAATGATTCAGTCATTCTCTGTTTTGTGATCTGAGGTGATCTTCCACCATTTTTGGACAATGCCAATTTTTCCATAACGATGTGGTCTTTGGAACCTAACCATGTCATTAAGTGAGGAGTGGTGTAATTGTTTTCCAATAGTTGAGAAACTACAATGGTTGCAGAGACGATATTATTTGACTTATGTAGAGCTACTTTAATGAGAAAAGTTAATTAGATAAGAATACTGATTGGGTGGAGATCAACACTTTTTTTTTTTTTTTAATTTACAGTTATAAAACTAAGACTTGCTCTGAATGAGAGCACTGTCTTCTTCTAACTCACTGTGATTGGCCTGAGGACAAAATTATCTGTATTTGTCTCATCTTGGAGATGATGGTTGGACTGCTTTGAGTCACAAGAGACTCAGTGCAAAGTTGCATTCAATGGCTTCCGAGTAGAAAAGCTGGTCCATGATTAGTGTAGCTTTCAAAGTACTCTTTCCCCAAAAAACCAAAAAGGGACTGGCTCTTTTTCCTCTCCTGATGATAAGAAAGGAGAATCCTCACATTCTACAGAGGGGAGAAATTATGATTTCTGGGAGTCTGGAGGAGTAAGACTTCGTCTTGAAGAAATCTTTAAAAATATACTAAACTCTGGATGATGTGATGTATAGAAAATTGAACGAAACTCTAGATTTAGTTGTCAGGTCTAGATTTAGGTGTCAGGCAACCACCTCAGTCAGGAGGTCTGGCCAACCTCCTACTCCACATTCTTGCATTGTTAGTAAAACAAAGAAGAGAAAAGTTACCTTTCTGTCTTCCTACCTGCAACTTGCAATGCCTTTCTCTTACCAAATCTTGTTCTCTTAAAATTAACCAATTTCTTCTAAACATTTTTAAAAGCCTGGCCTGACAATTTGTGTCATAATAGTCTATAACCCATTCTCTCTAAGCTATGATTTCTTACATCTTATATTGTTCTCTACAAAATTAATATCCTATTAATTAAAAAAATGAAACCATATAATGTGGGATTTTTGCATGCCAGGCACAGGCTTATAAGATGTTGCTCTTAATAAAGCGAATGTTTATCAGACGGAGGCAAGAGTAGTTCCTACATTTTAACTTTGAAAACAATGTGGAGGAAAAAAATCTGTCCTGTGCAGTGCTTCCTGACATTTTCATGTCATAGCACATTTAGAGAATGCTAATATTTGAACAGCACAGGGGGCAAAAGAAAGAGGGTGCCAATCACCCAGTTTAGGGGTTCTGGCTGCTCTGAGACTTGACGGAATCGGTATCTAGGCACACGTGTAGCCTACCTGCCACACACTAGTTGTGAAATTCTGCAATGAAGCAGTTTTCCCAGTGGTGTAATATTAAACACTGAGTGAGGGGAGTAGGACTTATGTGGACATATAGGACAAAAGGGCCAAATAATCAGAAGAAGAGTGATTCATAAATAATTATGAGGAGGGTTTCTGGGAGCTTATACTTAAAAGTAAATATAGTAGTAAGTATCCTTTTCCAACATTCCATACAGAATTTATTCTATTCTTTACTATGCAATACCAACACTTGGCAAACAACTTAAATTTGGTTAATACTATGTGCAATGAAGCCATACGGCCTTGAGTAGGGAAGACAAACAGGGACCTACCTTATAAGTTAGATGTCTGCTGAGTCATTCTACATTTTCATTCCAGTTCACTACTAAGGAGCTTTGGTAGCGTAGTGGTTACGTATCGGGCTGTGAGCCTCAATGTCAGCAGTTCAAAACTACCAGCTGTTCCACGGGAGAAAGATGAGGCTTTCTTTTCCCGTAAAGATTTATAGCCTCGGAAACCCTGTACAGGGTCGCTATGAGTTGGAATCGACGCCACGGCACATAACCACCACCACAATGGTACTAGCAGACAGTAACAGGGGGATCAAGGAGATGACAACTTTACAAAGTAACAGCAACACTTAGGAGAAGAATATTAATTGCTAGGAGAGCAAAAAGAACTCAAGGCTTTAACTAAATAGAATTTCTTCAGTGCCTTTGGGGATAAAGAAGTACAAAAAACAGCTAAAACAGGGAAACAGTCATTGTTTTAAGCAGAGGAATCATTTACCTTAAAAAAAAACAACAAAAAAACCCGAAAACATTTAAATTTAGTCGCTTTCATCCTTTGCTGAGAAAACACTGGTGATGAAATGAATACGTCAGCAGGCCTTGAGCAATTATACTAACAGATAAGAGAGATCAAAACAAGTATTATTCAGGCTGTGGGGTTCAGGATGGAGGAATAAAAGGACACAGCATTCTACAAAGATTTAAGCTTTCATAATATATAAATTATGGTTAAAAATAACTTAATTGAAGTCATTACCTTATCAAAAAACCTACTGAGCTTGACAGCATTGGAAGAACCTGCAGCTAAGTACCGTGGATTTGTGCAATCCTAGAAGATAAAACATAGATCCGCACTGAAAAGTTAGGAAACAGAAGCTCTTTGTTAATCATTACAATTCTTATTGCATACTTCTATAGTAAAAAAATTGGCATAATACTCTCATAAAATAGTGAGATAATTTTCAAATTATGATGCAAGAAATTAAGAAAAAAGTGCTAAAGGAAGACCAGGCCACTTTTTGTTATTTAAGCAATTTTACAGGATACTGAATCAAGGTATTGATCAACAATTAATTCCTAAAGGAAGGTAAGATTGCTAATGTATTACAAATGACAAAACCAAAGTACTAATCAGACCTACTTATGTTTATTCTGGAAGTCTGAATGTAGTCATTATAAACAGTACACACTTTGCTTTTTAGTAATGGTTAATCACCAGTGTGCAATGAATTAACTACTATGCAGCAGGAGTCCTGGTGTGGTGCTTTGGGTTATTGCACCAGACAGCAAAGCCATTTGAACTGCAAGGTTGGCAGTTCAAGCTAATCAGTTGCTCCTCAGAAACCCATACAGGGTCGCTATGGGTCGGAACTGACTCGACAGCACTTAACAATTCAGATGAATAGTAGGAAGTATAGAAGCAAGGATTTAGAGGCACAAGGAATAAACAGAACAGATAGCACAAGGAATAAACAGAACAGATAGCAGGCATTTCTGACTCCCAGAATGCAAAGTGCTACTATATCTCTTGGTCGCCCATAAAAATACATTGCTTTTGATAATAATCAACAAAATATATATTTATATTATTTAAAAGAATTTTTAAGAATAGGAAAAACAAATGGGTCCCAGAAGAGACAAAAGACTCTGGCACATTAAGTCATTAAGATGACTAGCAAAGGAAGACCTTAGGCATGCAACTCCTTCTCTTGCCAATGCAATGCCTCATTGTCTTAGGTTGGCACCACTGATGCACCACATCAAGAGACAGTATTTTGATTTCTACCTCAAATGCTGCCTAAGATCAGACTCTGAGAGTATCACACAGTCTCCTCTGCAAGGGTGATACTTGTCTTTCAGCTAGAGACCCTTTGGGTTCCTTGGGAAATTACTGAAATCTTTTATGTCACGTTTATTTTATTTTATAACCTCTAGACACACATGATCCCTTTTCCAGTGAATTTTATCCATATACCATATCTCAAAGCTTTTATTTGAAATTTTGACCAGAAACTAGAACACATTCTCCAAAACCACAACATAAACAACATAGCAAAACACCTAAAGACCACAGGGTTCTAGGAAAACAGGGGTCCTGGAGCCAGCAAAGCCGTTTGAACTGCAAGGTTCTGAATAGAAATGTCAGTCCCAACATGTCTTGCTGTGTTACCACTGGTTATGCTGCTAAATCTTTGAAAATTGAGCTTACTCATCTATGAATGGAGATGACAATATCTATTCCATAAGATTTTTGTAAAAATTAAATGGGATAATGCAGGTTTGGCACACAGTGCATACTGAAATGAGAGATTTTGCCTCTCATCATACTAAGAGACTGATATTGGGCTGAATTTCTAGGCATAAAAGCACCTAATAAAATAATTCCATATATGGATTAAATAGACTGAAACAGTTTCATGCAAACTGCTATATTTGAAACAAAGTTCGGAGATATTGAAAGCAGTGTTGTTAAGTGCCGCTGAATCGGTTCCAACTCATAGCAACCCTGTATACGGTTTCTGAGGAGCAGTTGGTGGGTTTGAACTGCTGACCTTGTGGTTAGCAGTTAGTTCAGTGTTGATCCTACAGCACCACACCAGAAGTCCACTGAAACCAGTGGAGGCAGATCAAAAACAGGTTAGACAGATCTGAGTCAGAAAAGCTTTCAGAAAAGCTTTCAAAACCCTAACTAAATCCACTGCTGTCAAGTCAATTCCAATAGCGACCCCAAAGAACAGAGGAGAACTGCTCCATGGAGTTTCCAAGGCTGTAATCTTATGCAAGGAGACTGCCACATCTTTCACTACCACATCTTTCACTGCTGACCTTTTAGGTTAGCAATGGAGTGCTTTAACCACTGTGCCACCAGGGCTTCTTGAGATGATTCCAAATAGGGATATATAACAGTACAAAATACAAAAGCTAAAACAAACAGCAAATGAACAAACCAAACTCCCTCCAAAAACTTAGTTCCAGGGTTTTATAATTTTAGGCGACAGAATTCCTATGATAATAAGATGTGAATTTTAGAGCTGAAAGAGCCATCTGCCATTGATCATGGCTTAGGGCAAAACGTGACAATTAGTAGCTTTAAATAGCTTATCTAAGCTTGGGAAAGGAATATTAACTAGGGAAGATGCTTGAATATGATCACTTTGAAGTAAACACATACCAGAAAAATTTGCACTAGACATAATAAGCTTAACAGGATAAAAAAAAGAAAATCTTCCTCCTATTTATAATGGAAACAGCTTGCATTTATTCAGGTAGAATAAGATAGTTTAGATTCAATCTTTGATTTTTACACTTATGGTAGTTTTAAAGTAGATTTCTGTGGTTTTAAGTAGATTCAGTATCTGATGATGTGCTAATACTAATACTGTTACATTAGTTACTTATTTGAGGCTTTAGTGCAATGACACAAGGCTAAACTTACACTGTATGTGAACTCTCTAAAGACCATGTATGTTAAAGTCCCACCTCTTTAGTACTTTTCTAGTCTTGTTAACAATGGGAAGATGGCTCTACCTTTGCAAGGAAAGCAGGAATGACATATATCTAGATTATGCTCACAGAAACCCACAGATACAACTAACAAATATTCTGAAATATATTACAAGTATGCACTAGGACAAATTAAGTATATTCAGTGATAAATCTGTCTTTGGAAATAATGTTAAAACAAAGTAACTTCAGCATTTCTCTAACAAGGATAATATATATTCTATAGATCAAAAATCCTCTGAGTTATCATGGTACAGTGCTGACTACCTGGAGCATTTACACAAAATATTCCATGGTTGTTGTTAAGTACCATCTAGTGGGTTCTACTCATAGTGATCCTGTATAGGGTTTCCAAGACTTGAAAATATTTGCCAGAGCAGATAACCTCATATTTCTCCTGAGAAGCAGGTAGTAGGCTCTAACTTTGTGGTCAGCAGTCCAGTGCTTATCCTAGACACCTACCATATTCCTATTCCATGGTGGCAGTGGAGAAAACTAAGGCTCCTTCCACTACAAAGCAGAATGTAAAACAGAACAATGGGATGGAATAGAAGGTGACTCAGTTGAGAGGGTAGGGTGGGGCTAGAGGTGAACTAAGCAGTGTTTACAACAGTTCAGTCACAAATTAAGTGCATCAGAAATACCTGAATCCTTTGTTAAAATTGCATGGTTCTTGTCTTCATACCAGACTCTAAGAATAAACAGCTCTAGATGTGATACAGTTATTTGAAAAATTTCACAAGTAGTGCTGATAACAGGAACATCCAGTCAGGTCTGGGTAACTGCTGGAAGACATAATCTCTAAAAGTTCTATATGGTCCAAAATTCTATATGTAATTGATAGACAATCAAGTGGAAAATAAGTTTATTTGTAGAGTACAGACTCTGGAGTCCGTTTGGATGGTTTGCCCTGTGTAAATCTGACCTAATTAACTGACACTTCTCTGCTTCTAGTCTGATGATGCATGTGAGATAATGCATGCAATTCCCGTAAGAGCTAGATACATGTTAACCATTAGTGGTACTATACTTACTATACCATTACCAGTCTGGAAAGCCAGTGTACTAGATACATAGCATAAATCCTACCTGTGAACCACGACAGAAGTTGCTGGCCAGAATCTTTCTTAAATGGGGAAACACAACCTGGCTTATTTGAGAACTGCTTCTTAGGTTTTTAGCACCAAGTTCTAGCTGAGCTTGCTAGCTATCTCAGGAAGGAACTCAATCCTCTGTGTACACATACATATTTATGTAAATATATGTTATGAAGCACTCCTAGTTTACAATTTTCCCATTTATCTGTTTGGTTACTCTTTATGGTAAATTTTATAGTCTAAGAAGCTAAGAGGCTATTCTGAAGCAAGAATAATCAAGGTACAATATCAGTGACTCTTCTTTGTCACCTCAATTCATGTAATTATTTTGGTGGGATTAAAGAAATCTGATGAGAATATTCAATATTAAATTCAATATTCATTGAATATTGTCAGTTTCAGGGCCGCTATGCTCTGGTAGCGTAGTGGTTACGAATCGGGCTGCGAACCTTAAGGTCAGCAGTTCGAAACTACCAGCTGCTCCGCGGGAGAAAGATGAGGCTTTCTACTCCCGTAAAGATTTACACCCTCGGAAACCCTATACAGGGTCGCTATGGGTCGGAACCGACTCAATGGCACATAACATCAACATGCTAACTGCATTTTCCAAGAGATCAGCAGGTCAAGTGACCGCGTCCTTCTGACCGTCTATATAGGTTGATTTAATCTTGGCTAAATTTTGGCTTGAACTCAAACAGCCTGACTTCAGGAATAAAGTTGATTTCATAAGCAGGAGCTTGATGGGAATGCCTTGTTCTTCCAGGTCTCACAAGTTTTCCCATCTTTGACAGGATTCAGTCTTAACACACACAATTCAACTGTCAGTTTGTAGAACTGTGGTGGCTTGTGTGTTGTGGTGGTGCTGGAAGCTATGGCACCAGTACTTTAAATACTAGCAGGTCACCCATAGTGGACAGGTTTCAGCTGCGCTTTCAGATGAAGACAGGCTAGGAGGAAGGAGAGACAGACCACTTCTGAATATTTAGTCACTGAAAACTTCTGAATAGCAGTGAAACACTGTCAGCACCAGAATACTGAAACATGATGAAGAGCACCCGGAAACTGTCAGAGATAATACTGGAAGATGAGTCCCTCAGGTTGGAAGGAACTCAAAATACAACGGGGGAAGAGCTGCCTCCTCAAAGTTGAGCTGACCATGATGATGCAAATCAACCTTCAGGACCTTCATTTGCTGATGGGCCGCAACTCAAAATGAAGAGAAACAGCTGTTTCTTTGTGAAGTGCTTTTGAGTGACCCTGTAAAGGGTTTCTGAGGCACGGCTGTTGAGTTTGAACAGCTGACCTTGCAGTTCAAACCGACCTTGTGGTCCAGTGGCATTATGCTGCACTGCCACAACTGTAAATAATGATTAATAAGTGGAACATGGAATGCAGGAAGTTTGAGTCTAGGAAAATTAGAAATTGTCAAAAAAAATTAAATGGAATGCATAAACATTCATTTTCTAGTTATTAGTGAGCTGAAATGGACAGGTATTGGCCATTTTGAATCTGACAATCATATGGTTTACCATGTGACAAACTGAAAAGGAATGGCATCACATTCATCATCAGAAAAAAACCATACTAAGATCTGTCTTGAAGTACAATGCTGTCTATGATAGGATAATATCCATATGCCTACAAAGAAGATCAGTTAATACAGCTATTATTCAAATTTACGCACCAACCACTAAAGCCAGTGAGGATGAAATTGAAGAATTCTATCAACTTTTTCAGTTTGAAACTGATCAAACATGCAATCAAGATGTATTGATAATTACTAGCAATTGGAATGTAAAGGTTGGAAACAAAGAGGAAGGATCAGTCATTGGAAAATATGGCCTTGGTGATAGAAATGATGCTGGAGATGACATGATATAATTTTGCAAGACCACTGATTATTCGTTTGAAATAACTTTTTTTAAATAACAAAAAAGACCACTGTACACCTGGACTTCACCAGATGGAATACACAGAAATCAAACAGACTACATGTGTGGAAAGAGACGGTGGAAAAGCCCCATATCTTCAGCCAAAACTAGGCCAGAGGCAAATGGCGGAATAGACCATCAATTGCTCAGATGCAAGTTCAGGCTGAATCTGAAGAAAATGAAAACAAGTTCACAAGACTCAAAATACAACCTTGAATACATTCCACCTGAATTTAGAGATCATCTCAAGAATAGATTTGATGCATTAGACACTAATGACTAAAGACCAGAAGAGTTGTGGGGTAACATTGCACAGGAAGAAAGCAAAAGGTCACTAAAAAGACAGGAAAGGAAGAAAAGACCAAAATGGATGTCAGAAGATTCTCTAAAACTTGCTCTTGAGCAGAGAAGCTAATGTGAATGGAAGAAATGAGGAAGTAAAAGACCTGAACAGAATTTCAAAGGGCATCTCAAGAAGACAAAATATTATAATGAAATGAGTAAAGACCTGGGGTTAGTAAACCGAAAGGCAAGAACCCGCTCAGCATTTCTCAAACTGAAAGAACTAGAGAAAAAAGTTGAAGCCTTGACCTGAAATACTGAGGGACTTTACTTCATGATCAAAATATTGAACAATGCAGAAAGCATAAAAAAAGATGGACAGAATATGTAATCACAGAACCAAAAAGAAATAGTTGATGCTCAACCATATCAAGAGGTAGTATTTGGTCAAGAACCAATGGTACTGAAGGAAGAAGTCTAAGCTGTACTGAAGGCACTGATGAAACACAAGTCTTCAAGAATTGTTTGAATACAAATTGAAGAAAACAAAAATCCTTATAAGTGGGCAAATAGTTAATATCATGATAAATGGTGAAAAGACTGAAGTTGTCAAAGACTTCATTTTGCTTGGAACCACAATCAACACTCATGGAAATGCCAGTCAAGAAACCAAAGTATTCAAAAACAACAGTTTGAGGACTAAGGTGTACCTAACAAAAGCCACTGTGCTTTTTAATAACCTCATATACATGTAAAAGTTGAACAATGAATAAAGAAGACCAGTGAAGAATCCATAGGATTTGACTTATGATGTTGGCAAAGCTCATTTAAAGTATCATGGAATGCCAGAAAAACAAACACATCTATCTTGGAAGAAGTGCAGCTAGAATACTCCTTAGAAGCCAAGATGTTGAGACTTTTTCTCTCATACTTTGGATATGTTACTGGGGGGACCAGTCCCTGAGGAAGGCATTACGCTTGGTAAAGTGGAGGGTCAGTGAAAAAGAGGAAAGCCTCCAACAAGATGGACTGACCCAATGGCAGCAGCAATGATTAAATGTAATAACAATTGTGACAATGGTGTAAGACTGGGCAGTGTTTTGTTTTGTTGTGAATAGGGTCGCTATGGGTTGGAACTGACTTGACTGCACCTAACAACAGCAACAATAGTCTAAATACTTTTCTATTGCTCTCTTGTTGTTGTTGCTAAATGCTGTTGAGTCGGTTCCAACCTATAGTGACCCTGTATTGGGTTTCCAAGGAGCGGCTTGTGCACTTGAACTGCCGACCTTGCAGTTCAAATGGCTTTGCAGTCTGGTACATTAACCCACAGCATCAGAACCAGGATTCCTACTTAGCATAAAATATTAGAGTTGTCCTTGTCTGACAAGTTTCTGCCTTACACAGATTCCAGCTTTCACAGGTTTTATCGTATATGACTTATGAAGTCTTTGATTTACCTTTACTTGCTAACATTAACATAAACATGCATCAGTGGAAAATACAAACCAAATTAATCTCTTCTGCATTGAAATCCTCAGCCAGGAAAGCAATTCTGGTTAAAACTTCATGGCGCTTGGTTTCATGAATCTGATCCAATTTAGTGCCTATTACCAACAGTGGGATTTGGTTACCAGCAAACTGTTCTTGATCATAATCCCTGTGGATAAATAACAATGAAGAGGTGAATAGAATTTATCTTTCTGATATGGATGTGTTACATTTAAATGGAACTAGCTTGTACTGTTTTACTTAAGATTAATGGATTCTTTCTCATGCTACCTAACCTATAAATCTACTTTATTACCAATTTCTTTTATTCTACTTGTTCATTTGTCAATCTATTCTCACCACCTATTGAATTCCTACTATTTCTAACTACTAAAAATTTGTTCCCACACATTTTTATAGACTACTTGAACAACTGAGTGTTCACCAGGAACACCAAAGCAGGCTGACTTCTTCCAAAGCTCTGTCTTCTTAGCGATAAGGAATGTTGCAGTGTAGAAGCAGAGAATGGATTCAAATCTCAATGCACAGAAAACTCAAGAGCCTAACATGATATTCAAGCCTTGTGCCAGATGGGAAATTGGGTACTTTCCGGGGTATGTATGCACAGGTTCTATATCTACCATGTACGTTTCTGCCTATGAATAAGAACACATAGATCATTTTAGAAACAGTATAAAATAGGGACTCTTAGGGTAAAGACTCCTGGTGTGGTGCTGTGGGTTAATGCGTCAGACTGCAAAGCCGTTTGAACTGCAAGGCAGGCAGTTCAAGCTCACCAACTGCTCCTCGGAAACCCTATACTGAATTGGAATCGATTCAATGGCACGTAACAACAACACCAGGGAAAGAATAAATTAAATATACATGATACTGTGGTAAAGATAGATTCAACAAGGGGAAGCAAACAGCTGAAATGCAAAACGAATAGCACAAAGAAAGAATTTACTAATAGCTGTTTGTTCTGACTTGAGAGCTGGGGGGAGACAAGCAAAAAGGATCACTTAGGATTAGTAGCCTGGGTCATTAGCTATTGCAATCTTTTTGTTACCCTAAAGTTGTGACGCTGTGGGTTAATGCGCCAGACTGCAAAGCCATGTGAATTGCAAGGTTGGTGGTTCAAGCTCACCAGTTGCTCCTTGGAAACTCTATACGGGGTCGCTATGGGTCAGAACCGACTCAACGGCACTTAACAACAACAACAACAACAAGAGAGCAATAGAAAAGTATTTAGACTGTAGTATTTAGACAGAGTAGTGATGTAAATGATGCTTCTCATTACTGAAAGAATGAGTCTGGCATTGTTAAATAAATTTAAATCCTATTTTCATATGAGAAATAAAATAGATTTGGATTTTTGACATATCATAAGCTCAATTTATAACAGTCAGCAAAATGTGGTTGCAAATAATTTATGACAGCAAAGCAGTAACATATAATCCAATCAATGCAATCCAATTGAGTATATTGTTTTTTCTTCCTTTGTCATTACTTTCGATATCTAAAAGGGGGGAAAGTTGCTACATCTTTATGCACTTTACAACAATTTTACAGAGTCTCAGCTACTGTTCAGCCTTGCAACACAATAGTTTTGAACTATGTACCCTACCTTCTTATAAAATATTCTCATTATATTTATTATACCAAAGCCAATTGCTTGAGTTGAAGGCCTTTCTACCAAGAACTTCTTACTAACATCAATCCTGCTTCAAAATAATCCAGGTGAGAGTGGCAGAAACAAAATGGGAGAGGTGGACGAAAAAATTTGACCACTCTTGGAAGTGGGTGACAAGTATATATTTATTATACTCTATAATGGAATATTTGGAATTTTCTGTAACATAAAGTTAAAAAGCTTTTTACATGGGGCAAAACTTAAATAGCCATAAAAGAGAAGTTAAACAGTTTTGTTCCTGTTCGTGTCTCTACCAATTTCCCCTGGTTCCCTATTAGTAACTATTGTTTATCCTGGAATGTTTTGATTACACCATCATATTTGATTGACAGCTTTGTTGTGTAGAGGATTCTTGGGTGGCATTTTTTTTTTCTTTCAGGGTTTTATGTATGTCTCCCCATTACCTTCTTGCCTGCATGGTTTCTGTTGAGAAATCTGAGCTTAATCTGATTTGCTTGCCTTTGTATGTTACACTTCTCTTTTCCCTAGAAGCTTTCAGGATTCTGTCCTTATCTTTGATTTTGGAGAGCTTGATTATTATATGTCTTGGTGATTGGTCTATCCTTAGGGTCTATCCTTCCTGGGGTTCACTGAGCTTCTTGAATGCTTATCTTTTCACTTTTCAGGATGTTAGGAAAATTTTCTTCCAGAAGCTCTTCAACTATCTCCTCTGTGGGCTTGTGTGATTGTTCCTGTTCTGGAATGCCAATAATTCTTATGTTATTCCTCTTCATGTTATCCAACATGAATCTTAGGCCTTCGTCAGAGTTTTTTTTTTATCCTTATTATGTTTGCTCTTCTATCTTAGTAGTGTTGAGAGATTTATCTTCTAGCTCACTAGTTCTGGCTTCTATTTCTTCAATTCTACTCCTTTGCCCTTTCAGTGTATTGTCCATTTCTGAAATTCTATTATTAATCATTTGGACCATTTCTGTAGGTTTTGAATTGTTTCCAATGCTGTATCTATCTTATTTGATTGTTCCTGTAGCACTTTCCTGACTTCTTCCTTCTTTTTCTCAACTCCATGATATAATGTTTTGATACAGTTTATAATAATTTTTCTGAATTCCTTCTCAGGCATTTCCAAAGCCTGCCTATCTTCCAGTATGGAGTGTAGGTCTACTTCCAGCTTATTTGCCTCAGTCACTTTATCTCGTTTCTGGACATGTGCAGATATGGTTATCTGCTTCTGTTTTTTGGGCATATTCAGGGGTTATCTGTGGACTTAATACTTAGATGGGTGTATATTTTGGTATTTTTTATGCTTTCTGATTGCTTCCAGGTAGATGTGATCAGGAAATGGGCTTCCCTTTTCACTCTTCTTCTTGAGAAATTTCAAGATGCCACTATTGGTCGTTTTGACGTAATTTAGGATTTAATTTTCAGCCTATTTCCTTTTTGTTTGCCTGTCCTACTCCATAATCCCCGTTCAGGCCTTTTTTTCTAGTTATAAACAGTTCAGGGCCGGCTGTGGCCATTTGCTTTTAAGTGGAAACTGTCTCTTTAAATTTTGAGGAGATATGTGCACATGTATAGAACCCTTCGAGGGTGGGGCTGGGGTGTCCACTAGCTCAGGCACCCCTTTAGTCACCTGAATGGAGGTGCACAGACAACAAGGGACCAATGAACAGATACCAAAAGAAAAGAATGTCCACACCTTTATCTCCGCAGTTCTGTCAGTATCTGTGGCTGTTCTGATCCTTCTCCCAGTTGGTGTCACCCAAGATGGTGGCTCCTGGAACAGCTGAGCATCTTGAATTAGAAAGCAATGGATTTCTTGCTTTCCCCTAGCTGTAAGCCTTCCAACTTTCTAAATATTTCTTTATATTTGGTTCAGAGTTCTGGGACCATCTGAGCCTGCTTGGTCCTGTATTCTGTGTTGTTGCTGACGGAGCTCCTTTCTGCACTTCCACCTGATCCACCATCTTGTTTGTTCTCTGTGGGTTCTCTTTTAACTCTTGTGGTAAAATCTTTTGATGAACATAAGTGTCTAACTTTTAGAAGGTCCCAGTCATCTATTACATCTTCTGTGTGTGTATTTTCAGTTATGTTTGATAGTGTATTTATGCCACGTATCATGTATTGTCCCTATTTTTTTCATTGATGATCTTTATATAGGTAACTATCTTTATTAGCCTCTTCTTTATCCTTACACTGTTTTTCTCATGCAAATAAAAACACATATATGTATTCCCTCCCTTTTGTACACAAAAGGCATATTATGTATACTCTCTGCACCTTGAATTTTTACCCTAGAAAAATATCCTGAAGATCTATCCATTTTAGTACGTAAGTCTTCCGCTTTTCTTTTCTTTCTTTTTTTTTTTTTTTAAATACTTGAATAGTATTCCAGTAGTGTGCATACCATTATTTAATCAATCTTCTTTTGATGTACTTTAGGGTTGTCTTTGTGTGGTACTGTGGGTTAATGTGGTATTGTGGATTAACCAGACTGCAAAGCCATTTGAACTGCAGGGTCGGCAGTTCAAGCTCACCAGTGTCTCCTCGGAAACCCTATACAGGGTCGCTATGGGTCGGAACCGACTCAATGGCAATTAATAACAACAACAGGGTTGTCTTTAGAGTTCTAGTGTGGTACTGTTGAGATAAAGCACTAGACTGCAAGGTCAGTGGTTCAAACTCACCAGCTGTTCCTCAGAAACCCTAAACAGGGTCACTTTGAGTTGGAACTAACGTGATGGCATGTTTCAAAAACAACAGGGTTGTCTTCGTTATTTTGGTTTTATAAACAATGCACCAGTGAAGACTAATATATTAATGTTTTATACCTTTGCAGACTCATCTATAGTATCAAAATTATGTGGTAGGGTCAAACAGCAAATCTGTAACTTTTACTATCAGTCTGAATTACTTGACACCAACACAGATTTCTTTTTGTCTCTTAATCTTAAATTTAATAATATACTGTCTCATAATCCTAAATTTAAGAATACATTTCTTGAGTAATTACCATTTTAGTGATGGGAAAAAAAAAAGCTACGTTGAGGAAGACACCAATACTGAAAGGAAGCAGAAAATATCTACTAGACTGAAATATGGATTTTAAATTAATTGTGTTTATTCCTCAGATTTTCCATGCCATACGAATGTACACAAACTTTATACTACACTTGATTTTTCACATGAAAATTAGATTGCCACACAGAAAACGGTCTTTAGAAATCCATTCTTCAATAAAATGGAAACCAGGGCTCTGTTCTGGGTGGGATGGAGTATACAGTCCCACTCACTATGCAACCTGGAGAGAATGTAGCAAGCAGCTATTTGAGGGCTCTGAGAAGTTAACAATATAGGCAGACTGAGAAAGACAACCAGAATTTAAGGTAACACTAAACCAGTAGTGAGTTAACAGATTCCCCACCCCACCCCAACTTCCACATCCCATTGTCTGACAGCAAATGAGGATGAAACCATTGGTGTGAACAGAGAGAACTCCAGAAAGCCTACAGTTTGGTTCAGGGAATAGAAAAGATATCTCCTAATGATCAGAGAGTATGCGGAAATCCACTATTTTCCTTCTCTCTGTTCTCTCCACACCCAGCAATCCCATGGTGGTTGTTACAAAGTCCATAACACAGGAGAGTGCTCAGGAGTCAAAACTCTGAGAAGGAAAAACCTTTTTTGCCTCATTAAAAATAATGGAGGCCAGAAGTGGTGCCACTTTTAATGCGCTGAAAGAAACTAAGCACCCAAAATATAATACCCAGTGAAAATGTCATTTAATGTTGAAGATAAAATAAAGACATTGTCAAAAGAAGAACTATGAGAATTTGTTATCAGCAAATCTGCTCAGGTAAAGTGCACAGGGTTGCTATGAGTCGGTACCGACGAGATGGCACCTAAAAACAACAACAAACCTGCTCTGAAAGAACTGCTTAAAGGGACAGAAGGGAAATATTAAAAGAAAACTTTGAACAACTAAAGCAAAGGAGGAACAACAGAAATTGTAAATAACAAGGTATATAATACATTATATAAGGTTTTCAATGTACATAGATGTTGTTAAGTGTTGTCAAGTTCATTCCAACTCATACTGATCCTGTATAGGGCTTCTGATCAGGCAGTTAGTAGTCCAGTACTTATCCTACACCACATCAGGACTCCAGATATAATATATAAGAAAATAACATAAACTCCATGTACAATTTATATACAAGTATAATACTAAGAGAGGTAAGGTTTCCACATTTCATGGCTGCTGTGTGCTGTTGAGTCAATTCTGGATCATATTGGGTTTCGAGGCTGTGAATCTTTATGGGAACAGAGAGTCTCATCTTTCTCCCACAGAGAGGCTGGGGGTTCAAACTGCTGCCCTTGTGGTTACCAGGCCAACACATAACCTACTATGCTATGAGGACTCCTTACATTTTGCTGCTGTTGTTAAGTGCCCTCATGTTGGTTCCAACTCGTAGCGACCCTGTATAGGGTTTCTGAGGAGCTGATGGTAGATTTGAACAACCTACCTTGAAGTTAGCAGTTCAGTACCACATTTTACTTGAAATGGTAAGAAACCAATTCTATATAGACGGTGCAAAGTAAGTATATGTACTACAATCCCTAGAGTAACTAGTAAAAATATATATACAAGGGGGCTTCAAAAAGTTTATGGAAAAATCCCATTATCTTTTAATTCCATTTTTCTGTACAAAGAGATATAGAAAAAAACACAACAGATAAAACTAAATAAGAAATATACACATAATTCAAAAGAAGTCAGGAAATGAAAAACAGAATAAATAAATAAAAATGCATAACTACATTTAAGGTATAATAGCTAAACACAGCAATTAAAAGACAGATATATGAAAATGGGCTTAAGACACTACCATATGTTGTTGGGCTTAAAACATATAGACATATTGTCTATAAAAATTTCACTTAAAACATATTGTTGTTGTTAGGCACCGTCGAGTCGGTTCCGACTCATAGTAACCCTTTGCACAATAGAATGAAACACTTTCAATTCATTTTAGGAGGCCAGCATTATTTTCTTAGAAAAATCAGCCAAAGACAATACAAGAACAGAAAACCAATGTCCTTCACGAACATAGACCAAAAATATTAAGAAAACATTAGCAAATCAAATCCTGTAATAAATAAAAATGAGGACCAGAAAATGTAAGATTAGTTCAATATTTGAAAATAAATCAGTGAAATCCACCATATTAACAGTCTAAGGAAAAAAATCAAGATCACTCTTACTGAGCATCAGCCTGGAAGTCATAGCAAGTTCAGTAAGGCAACAACAACAACAAAAAAGTAAAAGTAATACAGATTTGAAAGGAGGAAATAAAACTGCTTATGTAGAAAAACCCAAGGATCTAACAAAAAGCTCCTACACTAATAAATAAAATTAGCAAGATCAACTCAAATTATTTTTATTTGTTTAAACTAGCAATGCACAACTTCAAACTGAAATTTAAAGAATATCATTTATAATAATAAAAATATTAAATACTTGGGTATAAGTCTAATAAAGTATGCACAGATTATGTATGCTGAAAATTACAAAATGCTGATTAAAAACTTAAAAAAAAAAACCCTAAATAAGTGGAGAGACATATGTTGCTCATGGATGGGAAGATTCTACAAAGAAAGTTGTCAATTCTCTCTAAATTGCTCTATATAATTCAAACAGATGTTGAAACAGAGAAGCTGAAATAGAATAAACCATTTTGAAAAGAATAAAGTTAGATGAGTAACTACACTGTCTGATTTTTACTATCAGGTGTGGATGGTGCTGTGGGATAATGTGCTGGACTGCAAAGTCATTCTGAACCACAAGGCTGGCCAGTTCAAGTTCACCAGCCACTCCTTAGAGAACCTATACAGGGTTGCTACAACATAATAAAAACAATAAAACAACAACATAATACAGAAATTACAACAGTGTAGTACTGGTGAAGGGATAACCAAATAGACTAATGGAACAGACCCAAGTCCAGAAATGACTCATGTAAATATGATCAATCAATTTTTGGTAAAAGACCAAAAAAAAGAAGCTAGCCTTTCAACAAATGGCATTAGAATAATTTCATAGCCACATGTAAAAGTCAGCCTCAACATAAACATTATGTTGTTGTTCAGTACCATCAGGTTGGTTCCAACTCATAGCAACCCTGTATGGGGTTTCCCATGAGGAGCTGGTGGGTGTGAACTGCCAACCTTGTGGTTAGTAGTGCAGTGCTTATCCTATAGCGCCATACCAGGACTCCATAAATTTTATACCTTATACAAAAACTAATTCAAAACATATCACAGACACTAAAATTTCTAGAAGAAGCACAGGAGAAAACCTTTATGATTTGGGGTTAGGCAGAGTTCATTTTGGAGAGGACATTTCTGCAAATGCTGTAACATTTCAAGCCAACTATATAACTATGAACTAATTTGGACTTACCCATTTATTACCAGGACTCCAGTGGGTACCAAATCCCTGTTGAGTGCTTCCAATGACCAACGATACAAGTTTTGAGATGATTTCTTATTTGTTAAGTCATGTACTAAAATAATACCTAAAATAATCAGAGAAAATAATATCAATACTATAATAATTCATTTTAATTTCACAACTGTCTTTTAAGTTTGCACATATAAACACTAGGCTGTTTATAATGAACCTAGTGTTCTAGTCTAACAAACTAAAAATTACAATTATTAAAAACTTTCCTATACATATTCTTTCAAATAATGAACTACAAAACTTGGTAACATAACTTTTTATTATTATCATGATTCTATAAAGGCTTGAAAATGTCATCACAACTTTTTGACTGTTATTTCTTGTTTTATTCATTCAGCAAACACTAAAAGGCTACCCTGTGTTTGGGCTCAGTTGAAGAACCACCTCATTAAAGAGAATCAAAACCACTGCAAGTCAATAAATTATATTAATTCAAAAGTTAGGCTGTTTTTGTATTGCACAAAGGACTGTCATACCAAAAGACCAACATGGTCATCAAGTCCATTCTGACTCAGAATGACCCTCTACAGG